TTTGGCCTTTCTAGCCAGGTGGCATTTATAGAGAGGTGGTCATTTAGACATGTTATTGTAGAGTAAACAGATGATAATTTCATCTTCACCTGGTAAGAAGCGCTGGAAGTCCACATAAAAATCTGTAGAAGATTTGATCTGTGCAATCTCTTCTGGCGGGCAAGGGGTCGTCAACCTGGAAGGAACATAGTAGCGCTTTTGTACCACCTTCTCTGTTTCACTTGATACCTGAAATATCAGATTACAGTCAAACACTTAAACCAAAATATAAAACAAAAAATAACACAATACAACATTTAATTTCGATTAAATTAATATTAAAACAATTTACGTTATCAAAAATGAAGCACATTTAAAATTTTGAAATTATGTACCCCTTTTCAACCCTGAGTCAATATAAGCACATGTATATATGTATACATATATATATATATATATACATATATTTATTTACAAAAGCTGGTACATGTTTGTTCCTATATTTTCTGTATATTTCCAGTCATAATATTCTGAGTTTAACGTGAAACAAGATGTTGAGCACCTGCAATAATAATATTCTACCCTAAACCAAATTTATAAATGCAGCAATGGACCAAAACAAAATATACCCTAAACCTGATACGAAAACCCAATGTTAACCATAAACCTAACCCTATACTTATGATTAAAAAAACCCGGGACGTTCCTGGGGGAGCACGGGTCGGAGCACAATTTAGTTTAAGATTTTACCTCAGCATCTACTCTTTCTACAGGAGCCTCACAGATGAGATCAAACTTGGTCATGAGCCTGACTAATGCCTCCTTCTGCTCCAAAAAACCTTGCCACATATGTTGAATCAACCTATCCTCTAAGATACCATCCTTCTCAAGAGTGGTCAAAGCATCGCTCACGATCCCATCCTGGAAATAACACATAATGTCAATTTAAACTGAACATAGGAGTATAGAGCGTAAACCATTACTACATGGTGAATAGAGAGAGCTTTGTTACATCAATATTATAAATAATATGTCCTATCATTTGTATCAATACTCTAAAACTCTGTACCTCAAGAGACTTCGTGAGAGCCTTCTTTCCATCGGTCATAGTGTCGCAGTTTACCGCAAAATGTTGTTAAGTGTACTACACTACTAACTTTCCATATTTTAACACAAAGATACATAGTGTCTGAATCCGATGCTAGGGAAAATGATACATATGGAAAGCTTATAAAGACATTAATTATGTATTAAGCTATTTATAAACCAGAATATTATTATAAATGGAGAAGAAGGTTTCTCACCCTTTCTACAGAGCCCAATATGGTAATGACCTGCTTGAAGAAATAAATTAGCCACGTCTCTTACGATTTCTTGTAGGCCAGACTTCATAGGACCTTTGTGATATGCGATTAGTTTAGAATGCCAACTTCCCATTCATTTCGTAATACAAAAAAAATTGCTGCAGCTTACTGCAGCAAGAGTGAACGAGGTTGTAAAGGAGGAGGTTTCTCACCCTCTTTGCAGGATCCAGGATGGTTATGACCTGCTTGAAGACATCAATTAGCCATTGAGGATTCAGGATCACCATGTCTCGTAGGAGAGATTGCTGGTCTTCAATGCCTCCATAGTAGATTACATTACCCAGATCGTGGTAAAAGGTCAGCATCGTGAGAATTTCACGCTCCGATTCAATCCCGACTGACTGCGTCAGTTCCTTAGTCTGCGAGAATGCAAAAAAATGGCTTCATAATCATCATATGATTGGTGAAAAACATCACAAATAGTATCTATCAAATGAATAAATATTATAACAGTAACATTACATTTAATTTACATAGGACATACACAGAATATAAATATAGTAATAAAGCAAAACTTTAACAGAAGGCAACATATAGCCTGAATTGTATGCCAAGATTTTCAAAGGCACTACATCCATTTATTCAGACAGGCAATATAGTCGGCCATTTACAAAATACATACTAATCTATTTGTTACAAAATTCGAATCCCGACACGGCACTAATATCCTTTGGCAAGATATTTACCTGCACTTGCTACTCTACACCCAGGTGTTAAATGGGTACCCGGTAGGATGCGAACGTTCATGTGGTTGAACGAGCAAGTGTGCGCCTGTAAAATGGCGACTGGCTGGAATGCTCCCCAGGGAGTGGAAAATGTGCACACATTGTGTGCGGGTAAGCCTGAATCCGATGACCGGGGTAATAATATATCTGTAAAGCGCTTAGGTACATCGTTGGATCGGTGTATTGAGCGCTATATAAAAAACCGGATTATTATTATTATTATTATTATTACCAAACAATTGCAAATTTTAAAGAAAAAAAAAAGGTTTCAAGGGAATAAAACCAAACTAGGCATTCAAAACTTGAGATTCAAATTTGAATTGCATATCTATACAAGTGTTTTCTAATTTTCTTCCACAACAGCACCTAAACACATATTATTTTTGAGAATGGCAAAAATTAACGTTGCAATCTTACCTGATCTAATGACATGTATTTGAGTTTATCTGCAGCTAGAGCTTCCTCAAATAAGAGCCATCTGAGTGGAATCTCTTCTCCCATGTAAGGCTCTTCCATCGCTACTTTCGTAATATGTGTCCTCAACGCGACCAGCTACAAAGGAATTAAGTGTATTGGTTGGTTTATTATTTAAAAAACGTGACATGCAGCTCAAGGCTGATATTATCTGTTTTACAAAGCAATCAGATGTTTACATTATGATACAAACATCATTATACAAAAGCAATATGCAAAATAACAATGGCATTCCATCACACAGCAATACTAGAAAAGATTTAGACAAAGATGTGGATAAAAGTTTTTAAAATATTTAAGGCAATGTCATTTAATATTCAATGATAATTTCGATTGAGCATGTTCAGGAATAATAAGCTTATTGCAAAAAAATATCACTTTATAGTAACAGAGGGAATAATTGCATATATGTAGCAAATAAATTTGGAGAAGAATTGCCAATGGGTAATGAAAGAGGTGATTTTAATCTTCCACAATGCATTTAAACAAACATATTTATACAGTTGTATTATAACCAGAGGCAATTAAAGCATGAAGCCTGTTTTCTACCAAGAGTAACTACTATGTAAATCAATGCCAGATGATCGTAGGTAGTAAATTCCTATAATTGATTTTCGTCAAGCACAGTGGATGGAAAACAATGTCAGTATAACCAGAAATAATACCTGAATTGCAAAGAAAGTTGATTTTTCTGCCCTTTTATATGACACTCCAATCATGAACAATGAGCAAGGAATGACAAAGCTCTGTTTATTTAAAGTAGTGCTTGCATTTCCATAATTGTATCAAACGAATTCGTTTTAACTGGCTCCCTGCCGTAGCAACAAGCAGAATTGACAACAGACTTAACTCCGTTTCGTTGACAATCAGCCATGCATGAAGTCTTTCGTTTACGGCTGATTGTCAAAGAAATTGAGTAAGCCTCGGTAACAAATACCATTACGAACTGCTACGAACGCCGCACAGTGGGCCAGGGAGGAACCAAAGTGCGCCAAAACTCATGTTTGGGGATTTATTTTTTATAAATCCAGAGGAAATGTTTGGATTTCCAGGGATTTTCGCTAAAATGTTATTACCAACATTTTCTCTGATGTCTAAGCTTTAAGTTGATACCAGATTTGGCTGCCCGATTCTGCCCGTTATTATGTTTGAGCCGTTTTCCTTGCAACATTGCCCCGAAAATGTGTTTATTTTGGTCCGCGGTGTCAGAACAAGTGTCACGCGCCCCCTCGCGCCGTGCTTTATGACCACGAATCCTTCATGATTCGGCCGCGGACCCCCAAAACCCTCAATTTTCGGGGCAATGTGGCAAGGGAAATCGCCTCTAACATAACAACGGGCAAGATCGGGCAGCCAAATTTGGTATCAAATTAAAGCTTAGACATCAGAGGAAATGGTGGTAATAAAATGTAAGCGGTACACTGCGGAGATCTAAACATTTCTTCTGGATTTATAAAAAACATGGATAATTAGTCCATTTTTCAGTGAACTACCCTATAATATATCATGAAGATTGTGTTTCTATTAATTTTAACCCATTCATTCAACGAAATGAACTATCAGGAATATGTGAGAGCAATTTTATATCAATAACTTAAAAACTTCATGTTGAATTGAAAGATTTATAAAATAAGTTACTTTTGCACTAAAACTGTGAATATGTAGGATTTTGCTGTTTGAAGTATTAAATTTATACCCTTATTGTGCATAACGGAATTAAATATTTCACTGAGGTATTCCTCTATGTATTACCTTTCAACTGGGCAAGAACAAAATTGAAAACAAAAAATCACCCAAAATTAGTTTTGGCGCACTTTGGTTCCTCCCTGGCCCACTGTGCGCCGTACGAACGATCTTTAGACCATGGAAATTCGGGAAGACCATGGAAAAACAAGGAGATTCGTACGAACGCATCGTTCGTACGAACCTTTGTGACCGTAGCATATTAACTCTCTTGTCAACTCTGTAATTCCTTGCTCAATGTTCCTCATTGAGGTGTCATATGAAAGGGCAGAACCTCAACTTTTTGGAAATGTGATTTTCTCTTTGAAATTCAGATACCGTCCGCCAAATGACTTTTTTGGTTTCCTCTCTTCAAATTCATTTTAATCACTCATGCGTGAACATGCATCGGATGAGTTGCATCAAATGAAAGAGGAGGGCCTAAGCTTTCCAAATGTGTGTCATTTATTAATTATAAATGTGATTAAGTTATGATTAAACATCGATACTTCTCGGTTTCGTTTTTTCTGGGACGCACTGTATACGGTATGTTGTTAAATAACAATGGACTGCATTAGCTTAACTTTTTGAAGTGATACATTGATGTTGAAGTGGTCCAAAGATGTGGAGCAATTTGTGCAGCACTTTGTAACTGCAAGGAAAAGCAACTTTACATTTGGGATTGGATGTAAGTGGATTAGATAGATAATCAGTAATACTCTTTTGCTACAGATTACTATAAATTGTGATAGTTGATGATTTGTTTGTGATGTACCACTTCATCTTTGTCCTCCAAGCTGTTTTCAATGGCATAATACTTGGGGACCACATGGCGTTCAAATGGCCTCTTCATGATAGATTCACGGATCTTCTCAAAGGCAGAGCCAATCTAGAAGACAAAACGAGTGAAATGAACAGAAAAAACACATGTTAAACATGCATGCCTATTTCACTTTAGATGAGAACACGATAATATCTATCTACACATCTACATGACTGTACGCAGCGGGGGCTAGGGTAGGGGGCAGTTTCCATAAATAAAAAAACACACAGAAAATGCAATATATTTTTAATAATTTATTGCGTTTTACCCCGGTCCCCAACATAAACAAATCCTCTGGACGGCCATGCATTACGGCTCATGGCATGGGCACACAGAAGATTTGTTTATGTTGGGGACCGGGGTAACATGGAATAAATTATTGAAAATGTATTGCATTTTCTGTTTTTTTTTATTTATGGAAACTGCCCCCTACCCTAGCCCCCGCTGCGTACAGTCACGGTTCAGTGACAAAGCAATGGCCTCGTAACTGTGAGGCCCCATGATCAAAACCGTGTCGATGTGGTGCCCTTTTGTGGGGCATTAATCCTCATTACTGTCATTTATGACTTAAGGGCATAGGTCCCCTAGTTGATAAGCATAGTAGCATACACATGCTTTAGCAGTCACGCAAAACACACATTGGCAAATTATTATTCAATAAAATCTGAGAATGTATACTATTATCTAGATCTATTATTTTTAAATTATTTTTAAAATAATTCCATAAATTGGGATAAAAAAAAAATATTCCACCTTTATGAGCGACAGTGTATCTAAGCATCTTCTCCCGGTTCGGAGGTTGATTGCAACATCTCTCCATTTCTTCTGCCATTCTGGTGCACTCTTCCCGTTTTAGTGCACTCCAGTTCTTGACATTCTCTTCCCAGTTGATTCTGGGTCTCCCTCTAGGTCTACTTCCTTCCACTCTTCCTTCCAATTCATCCTTTAAGAGGCTTTGGTGCCTTTTAACATTATTAAATTATTTGATTTTCCTCTCCTTAACTAATCCTACCAGTGCAATTTGTTTACGCCCTGCCATGTGCAATATCTCTTTATTTGTTTTCATACGTTTCCAGGATATTTTCATCATTCTTCTGTAGATCCACATTTGAAAAGATGTTATTCTATTTTCCATGGCCTTGTGTATTATCCAAGTTTCTGCTCCATACAACATGACAGACCATACATAACAGTTTACTATAGTCTCAACCTAAGCGCAAATTTCACCTTTCTATTTGTGAATAATCCTTTCATTGCCAGAAATGTATTCCGAGCAATTTCTATTCTTCTTTTTATTTCTGCTTCGCATTTGGCATCATCTGTGATATTTTGTCCTAAGTAGATGTAATAACTGACTTGCTCAATGATATGCCCATCGAGTGTCAAACATATTCTAGGCTTATTTTCTGTTCTACTAAAAATCAGTGACTATGACCCCGTTTGCAGTGAGCAAAAAGGCCGGGCACTGTAAACGCGCAAAAGGCCAAACTGGCCGCGCATTTGGCCCTGCTCTGGAGGTAGTCTCTGCCTTTTCTCACTGTAAACGCACGCAGGGCCAAATGCGCGGCCAACTTTTACCCCGGAAGTGAAAGTTCGCCGTGTATAGGAAATTGGGGAAAAGATTTACTGCAAATATGCGCGCGACCGGATCTGCACTGTGACCCCCCCCCCCCCCCCCCCCCCGGCGCGGTCCCTAGATAATCGTTTGTTGACATGCAGAGCACCACTACGACAAAATATTGAAAGGTTACAATTTAGGCCGCGGCCGAGCCTACCACTATAAACGCACACATTTGCGGGGTCGAGTAGACCTGGCTCGGCCGCGGCCCGGCCCGGCCCGGCCCGGGCCCTGGCCCTTCTCGCTGTAAACGGGGTCTAAGTTTTCTTGACATTTATGCTTAGACCAAACTCTTCACTTTTCACTTTTTCAATATCTAATATATGTTGTAAATCTGCTTCACGATAATATATGCAAACAAAAAGAATGCCGATATGAGATAGCAAATGAAATTAAAGTCCATCTTGATATCTCATTAGATTTAATACAAGCAACAAACATAGAGAAACAGATCAGTGATTTGAACAAGTCTGTCTAAAAATAAGAAATTCATTAAATGTTGAAGTTATAAGCAATGAAACACAAATTGGCAAATCTTTGCCTTATCTGTTGAGGTCGTCTTCCGATTGCTTGGTAGTGCAATTTTCATAAATGTTCATGTTCTTGCTTATTTAATGAAGGAATGGGGCTATGTAAAAACATAATGTTAATGAGTGATTACATCTGTTCAGATAAAATAAATATTCGTTTAAATGTATTACCCTTTATTCAGATGTTGAAGTTACAATCAATGCAAAACAATTTAGCAAATCTATGACTTATCTAATGGGGTCGTCTCCCATTTGCTTGGTAGTGCAAATTGTATTATGTTTTATTTTCTAGCTTATTTAATGAATGAATGGGGCTGTAAAAAAAACATATTTGTAATGATTGATTACATCTAGCATGCACGTATGACTAAATAATTTGTTCAGATAAAAACAAATATTCGTTTAAATTGATTACCCTTTAATCAGATATTGCTCAAATTTACAGTAATCCGTTTTTTTTAAATTTTCTTGTACTATCAAAACCAACCTAATACCAGGGTGAAATTTGATTTTAAAACGTCCATTCACAAGAGAGTGTAAATACAAATTTTGCAAAGTTATATATAGTCAAGCTGTTCTAATGCAATAGCACAATCTCACTGCCAAACTGACTCATATCTGAATTCAAATGACCAATGTAACGGCCGCTCAGGGTTAGACAGAAATAATCGTTTGGTATGGGGAATTCTTTTAGTAAAACTGACATTTTAACGACTCATGTTGACGAAAAGTCTTTCTCGAAATTAAAAGTAAAATGTAGGAGCTATTAAAATGAGCAAGCTATCGTAAGTCAAAGTATATATTTCAGATTTTGTTATCTTTTACAATAACAGGAAGTGTAATTTTGCAGCCAAAATGGATATGTGAAGATGTAAAGAGTGAACAAATTGTAGCATCTCATTCATCTCGGTCTGGCCAGATGTAGTCACAGCGGAACAACCGTTGATATCAGAGACTAAAGCGTTCAGTCTAACTCAGGGTATGGTACTTTGTGTACGATCTTTATGGTGTTGGTGTCGGTCTTGTTGGTGTTAATCGAGTATTAAGGGTAGGTCTATCTGATAATCTGCTGTGTGCTGATCGCACGAAAATAAACGAAAAAAGATACAGAGATATCCCTGGATGAGAGATGTGACTTGGATAAAATTCACAACAAATCCTATACAGCGCGTGCGACCTGGAAAAAGTTTCACCGAAGACAAGACAAGTTTGAAATCACTGCACGATCGAATTCGCTTTCAGACACGTATAATGCGGTTGCATGATATGTGTATCACGCGCATGCATGTGCCGTACACCAAAAGTAAGTAAGTTCCCGAAGTGGCTCTTAATTCAGTCCAAAAGGCGCACATCTCGGCATTTGGGGATATTGCCGATATCAAGAATTTCAGGACCTTCAAGAAAAACAGCTGGGGTAAACAACATTATTTTTTCATTATAAACAAACGTGTATATAATAAACCATTACCTTTTCCCTTTTCTCTTGTGCATCTCCTTTCACACTTTCTCGATGCGTACCAACGATGAATATTGGTGGAGATTTCTGGGCGGGTTTAGACGTACTCTTATTTATGACTGAAGACGGCGCCACAGCATGGGCGTAGATGGAATACAACCAGAAATTGATGAACTCTAGACATGTCAGTTCTGCTTTGGCACCTCCTTTAACCTGCGTTTTAATTGTAAATTATGTGTATGATAAGGCTAATGATAACAAGATGGAACTTCGACCGCGCGCAGACGAAAATAATGCCTCTGCCAAAGAGCGATTTTACAAACCAAAACGGAAGTCAGTTTTAGTATTCAAGTTTGATTGTAATCCATTAACAGGTTCTCAGAAAATTGTGATGACAAGCTATTTTCGATATACATGGCTCTGCGAGATACATACATGTTCTGAGTTTGATAGTAATCCATCTTTCGGTTTTAGTGATAATGCGTTCACAAGCTATTTATAGGCATACATGATGAGCCCTACTATGTTTACCTTTGACCTCTTCATCCTAAAATCTAATCAGTTCATTGGCTCTACAAGATTCATACATGTTTTGATTTTGATGGTAATCCGTCCACCGGTTCTTGAGATAACGCGATACAAGCTATGTTTGCATACGTAGTAAGCCCTGTGACCTTTGACCTCGTGATTTACCTCGGTGGTAAATAAATCATCAAGAGAAATTAAAGTACACCTCGATATTCACTTGGTAAAACATTACCAGCTATTATGATTGGTAATTTTTGTTCTCAAAAATTGATCGCTTTAATGACATGCCCAGGTGTGGAAAAGATCGGCAGGATGACCTTGTAGGCCTACGTGTATTCGAGGAGAGATGGACTTTCAAAGAGATAAACATTATAGCTATTTAATATCACAGTACACCCTGCTCTGATAAAAGACGGAAAAAAGGGTTAATATATCACTGTTTTGATTGTACCAACAATATGAATTAATCTAGACGGCAACAGGTAGTTAAATCTACATTTTCAAATATTTAACATGAACAAGAGCTACCATAATATTTTGTACGAGTAATAAATAATACAAATATGTAAAACTTAACAAAATATCTAGGGCAAAATAAGGTATGTTTGGCAAAGAAAACACAACACTATCTAAAATGTATCTATCCTCTGTAAAGCATAATTTATTTTGCCAAACAGTATAACATGAAATACAGACATACCATTTCATAATTCTTGCCTCTGGATTCAGGGGGAACGACAGAATCCAAACTTCTACTGAGATCAAAGACAATCACATAAATAGCTCGCCACGTCAGAAATACCTACAGGAGATAGAATAAAAGTGATGCATAAGTATTTAATAACTACAATGCTATTTTGTTTCTATATGCTCTATTTTCTATAATAATAAGGGACCTCGGGCACTGTTTATATACGATTAACAACTAAATGATCCATACCATTTGGTGTGTGTGTCTGTGTGTTTTTCGTAACTCATGAATGCAAGGTGGACTGATTGAATGAGGACCTTTGTTAAATAATTTTAGATGTAAGTTTCAATATGTCTCAAGAAACATACATCTTGACAAATCAATTGTTTACGTACTTAAAAAATAGAAAACTTGATAAGGGTATGAATAATTTAGTTGTTAAATGTATTGATATAGAGAGTATAATTAAGCAGTAAGGTCAAGAGGTCTCTAAACTGCAATATATTTGTTCAATCCCAAGACAATGCATTCATTTAGAAAAATGTATTAAGTTCTGTGGATAAAACTGACTGATGTAGATCCTCTGGCTCCATATATATAACCATTATTAATTGCATATTATTATCAAATCCTAGATAATCTGTGACAATGACAGGTCAAAGGAATAATAAAGTTATGTTGAAAAAGAAATAATATTACAAAATTAAGACATAGTTTTTAAGTTTTTGCTGTTTACAGCACTTTTCTTCACTTTATTATATAACAAGAAACCAGCAATTCTTAACTAATGTGAAGTATGTTCTCCTACAATGGAATATCAAATAAATAAAAGAAGTAATAATTTAGACACTGGGCATGACTTTTTATCTATGACTGGACCACACATTAATTCACCTGCATAACACCTATGGCAAAAGCTACATGTAGACCAACAGCTGTGCATATTACAAGTACATTAATCCATGTGCCCTGAACTGAAGCATTTTATTGAGACAATGATTTCTTTGAGAATTAGATATCTACACTGAAACTGATCAGAACAAAATCACAAGAGAAATATCAAAGATTTAGGACAAGAAAGCCATACTGGAGGTATGGAAAACTGTAGTCAATACAATTCATTCAATTTTTTCTATGGAATCTAACAATACTTTACAAATTTGCTTTCAAGGCACCACGGTATAATATACAAGGAATCTAATGTTCTTAAAATGTTATTTTACCTGATGGGTTGAGTAATATATGTCGTGTCCAGCAAAATCCCATATACTTAGGGAGACTCCTTCTCCTCTACCGCTATCAGCCCTGTCTGTTCCTATCTCCTAAGGAATGAGGAAAATGAATACACATCTATATGAACAATTGTCAAAAACTAAATGTATTAACAAATAATGGAAACATCAGTAGGCATCCTGAAGACAATTACAAACTACAACATTGTTTAAACTGATATCATGAAGAAATCTTCTATTTAACGAAATGTAGCATAATTTTAAGCACAGAATGAGCAAAAACATATAGTATTAAAGCAAATAACTATTTTATATACTATTTATATACATATATATTCACCATTTTTTTTTTCTCCATGGAAACCTGTTCCAATAATTTTTTCTAACATAGATTTTCACCCCACCCATGACACCAAACAAGATTGAGATCAGCCGATATGCTTTATATATGTATATGTTTTGTTGGAATTTGCAGTACTGTTACTTTTCATCCCTCCATCTTTCATGGTCTAATGGAGTATCTGCCGTAATACACTTCTGTGGAAACACACCATAATCCGATGATAACATTAACTGTAACAGATTATCATAGGTGGATGTCAGAGGTATACATATCCGTGAATGATGGCAGTCACAGCTCTGTATAAATGTTTATGTTAACATTAATATTTAAGGTTATGTTACACAACGCTCACTTTCCAGACAGTCATCTGGTGAACCTGGTAACTTCTGTTAGCCATGCAAAAAGATATTGCGCTTCTGAAGAAACAGACTGATTACATTCTACAAAGGATTACTCGTACCGGTATTTTTTTAATTATAGGTACACACATTTGTTAATTCTGGGTCTCCTGTGGAAACATGCGAATAGATCATGCATGCAAGGATATAGATCCTTTAAAAACACGGAACAAATAAGTGAAAGATTATAAGATTAAACAAAAGTATTGTAGAAAACCTTGTGTATAATAAACCACATAAAGATACAAGGTTAAAACAGAAATTCTACCTTTTGGTGAACCTGTTCCTTAAGCATTTTCTCCACCAGACTTGCTATTTGATTCGGCATATTGTCACCCTTCTCTTTAGCCTTGTCTGTACGAAAGAAGAAATACATATATGTTTTTGTAGGATATATACATTCATAATTAATCTACATCTGCCACTCCGCCCAGGTGTTAAAAGGGCTCCAAGAATGATGCGAACGTTAAAAGGCCCGGTCACCCATAGGGGACGCATGGGATACACACGGCCCGCGCAGTGAAAATTTGCAATTTCGGCCAGTGCGTTGTCGTTCGCTAGGTGTGCGTCATCATTCGTTACTCGTTCGTCGAGCGCGCTGGACCAACGCTTGACCAACGCTATGCATTCGTCGACATTCGTTGTGTGTGTCGGGATTTTTTAGCATGCTCAAAAGTGTGCGCGTAGCTCAACGCATGAATGTACACGCAGAAAGGACGCCAGACATGCGCGGAGCGTGCTAGACAGACACCAGATATATGCGGAGCACACGCCCTGTATACGCACAGCGCGCTGGCAACACGCTAAAGTCGGGATCACGACTTTTTCCCATTTTCAATGCACCGGCCGTGCGTCGTCTATGTGTGACCGGGCCTTGTATTAAGAGTTGTTGGGTTGGCATGTGTGCGTTTGTAAAATGGCGCCTGGTCAATATTGAGCATGTGCATTATCATTCTGCGACCTAAAAATGGACTTCAAAAGTTTGAATGCGACTATTTTTATCATAATCATTACAGACCATATCTGAACTGAAAAATTAAATGGATGAATATACATCAAATGAAAGCTTATAAGCTAATTATTACAATAATATCAATTATATGCCATTTCAGTGTGTAACAGAGGAGTATCAGCTCTCTGAAAACTCAAAATGTAAAACTTTGTAAATTGGAAGTTGTCGACCTAAAAACGTGCTATCGACTTTATGACATCATCTTATATTATGTGGAGTCTGCACGGCTCATCACCTCAGCTATAGAGGTGAACCTATAGGAAACACATGTTATGTTGTCACTGTAACTTTGACCCCCATTAACCCGTAATTTAAAGGGGAACGAAAAATGAGGGTTTATTTTGCTTTTGTGTAATAATGAAAAGGTACTATTTTTTTGTTGTATTCTAAATACATTCAGTGTTCCCTTAATATTAAAGCCCCCACTGTCCTACGTGTAGCTACTTGCTCCCTCTATATATAAAACTTCCCCAATCGGTGCCTGTTCGTCCCCCATGATCCTCTTTTTCTTATGTTAGTTGAGAGCTGAGTTAATGAGATAGCCACCTGTCAGTGACCTCGCTGTGTGGTCTAATCCCTTCTGGCCCAGTAGTATTGACGGTCTTTAAGTTGTATTTTCATTGGATAGGGTCTTACTTATTTTGAGAAAATTACATGTAACTGACTTTTAAATAGTCAGTCTTGATTGCAATGCAAATCGATCAGTGGGTTATAAATTGTTTTTCTGTCATAACACTTTAAAGGGAGTTTTAATAAGTAAACACTTATTTGTTGTCAACTTTTGTTGATTCTTTATATCTTATGGACGATGAATTAAGGATTGATCGATTGGTAAGAAAGCAAACAAACAGCACAAGCCAAGTACGAATACCCCCCCCCCCCCCAACAAAAAAAAAATAGCAAAAAAACAAAAAATAATAATAATTAAATAACAAACAAAAACAAACAAACAAACAAACAAATAAACACACAAACCTGCTTTTACAGGATTCAGGTCGCTGCTGGGAGCAGTATCGCTATGTAGTTCTAAACTTTCTTGATCCTGTACACAAAATAAACCAGTATTTAGATTGTCATCGAGCAGCTTGCACTAACCGCATTGCAATTAACAACTAGAACTACTTTTTTTCTCAAAGTGGTTGATGAGACGGTTACACTCAAACTTGTTTGCATATACACTGTCATTCTGGACTGTTCTAGAGTAATTCATTGTATCATTGCATGACTGACTAAGAACTTGACATTCAGTTACAAACAGCGAATATGTACAGTTAATAAAAAGTTAAATGTAAACTTGTGTTGCAGTAATGAACTTGAAGTTCAAAACATCATAATGATACGA